TCTGTAGGTCTTCTTGGTCTTCTTGTCTGTCTTCCATCTCATCTATTTCTTCTTCCTCGGCTTCTGTCGTCATGGTATCTCTTTCTACTTCAGGGAGATTGTATCCACTTTCAAAATCAATTCTCTCTCCAGGTTGAGTCTCTCTATCATACAGGTAACCAGGAAGCGTCCCAGCTTTTGACATTGTGGTCTCTTGTCTTACTGAGCGTTGGCGAACGGCGGCATTAACGGCATATTGGATAAGGAAATGGAACGATCGAGGACAGGGTACCATGATTTGGGATTAGTGTAGTAAAACGCAGCCCATTTTGTCGTTCGCTTCAAACCTTCTTTCACGGCATTGCCGAAGTCTCTCGCATAGTCCAGCACCGTGCATAGTGGAGCTTTATGATGGACAATTGAGTGGAAATTTTCGACATCCATTGTTGTACAACTTAGCAAATTTAGGTTGCGGTATTCAAATGAATGAAGAACCGTCGCCAGTCTTTCCAAACCAATCTTTATCATTTCTACTGATTCCACGGTCTTGTTTGCTACCATTCCTTCTGGTCCGTTTAGACATTTTGGCAAATTTGGGACTCGTGCTGTTAAAACGCTAGTTAGTAGTATAAATCGGCTTAAAATAAAGCCATCTATACATTTAATTAAGGTACTATTCCTACTAATAAAGACAATAAAGTCTTAAAGAAATTATACTCAGTACTAACCTTACAGTTTCCCTCAAGGCTTGGACTGTTCGTACCGATTGCGATAGCTGTGCGCGAAATTTTTCTTTGTGCAAAAATGAATTTCCACATTTCCCTCTCTCGTAGTATAAGGCGACACAGTTTATAACATCAAAAATCTGAGTGCTTTCAACGACTTCAGCGACTTCGGAAAGGCCTTCTTGACGTACATTCACCATTTTGGAATTTCATACATAGGCCACAGGGAGACCCTTAGGTACTATTAAGGACTATTTAGGTCTAGGGATAAGTAGTCTAAGTAGACACAGTGTTGAGAAATGTCGATCTTGTCGATCAAAACGTAAATAACTAGAATAGCTGTTTCAATAAAAATTCCTTATCCTGATTTTTCTTCATTCCGATCCCGTATCACGTTCGTAAAACTTCGTAAATCCCGCGTCCTGCAACTTTCAAAAATCCCGAATCCCGCTCACTATTTTTTTAGATCCCGCTTCCCGTTGCCAAAATAATCGTAATCCCGCATCCCGCAAAACCTATTGGGGACCCTCCTAGATGAGTATGAGAATTAACTTCTCGTAAAGTATTCCCATTTAAATATAGTATGGGATGTACTTGTCCATAAAGTTTTTTTGAAAATGTAATACTTTCACATTTAGAAGGATTCATCTCCATTAGCCACTGTTTACACCACTGACTAATTTTATTAAGATCCGAATTTAATTTTAAGGAAGAACTTATTGGGTCGTCAGTTATGTCAAATAGAGATGTGTCGTCAGCATAAAGAAAACAGTTGGATACAATATCTACACCAATATCGTTAATATATATAAGAAAAAGTAATGGCCCGAGCACTGATCCCTGTGGGACACCAGCTTCAGTGTTTAACCAACCTGAAGTCTGCCCATCGATAACAACTCTTTGTTTTCGGTCTGTTAAATAACTAGAAACCAACTTAGAAGAGGGTCTTTCAGCCCAAGAGTTTGCAATTTGTAGAGTAAACCCTTATGCCATACCCGATCAAATGCTTTAGTGAAATCAAGAAAAACCATACGTACTTCTTTCCCCATATCCAAGGCTTGGTAAATTAAATGAACAATATAGGTTAATTGGTTAACAGTACTATCCCCAGGTCTGAATCCAGACTGAAAATCGCTAAGGAAATGTATTTCTAATAAAAATTCATACAGCCTTGCAAATACGATTTTTTCTGATATTTTTGAAATAGATGGAAGAAGAGATATGGGACGGTAATTCTCTTTATATTGGCTGTCGTCTTTTTTGTATATAGGACTTACATTAGCTCTTTTCCATTCAGTAGGATATTCTCCTTTTTGAAAGCTTAGATTAAGAAAATTTGTAAATGATTTATGAATGCCACTACTGCATAGTTTGAGGATGTTGTTTCCAATACCGTCAGGACCACAAGCTTTTGTAATATCGACCCTCTCCAGTAACATCAGAACTTCTTGTTCTGTTGTATGAATTATTGATAATGTTTTATCAGACTGGAAATAGGTTAATAACGGTAACTGACAATTACTATTGTTAATTCTAGACTGATTGTAATTCGTTTATTGATCTTGGTAAAACATTCACAGTTGAGTTTACATTTGCTGGGACATTTACAACATTTCCATGTATTTTAAATTGACCTCCTCTTGGAAGTTCATGAATTTGCATGAAAGGTATGCGTGGAGAAATTAATCTTTCTTCAAGGGAGGTAAGACTTAGTAGATCAGATTTTTGTGGGAATTTCATACCATTAGCTTTCGAACATGCAGGTACCTTCCCTTCTTTCAAGTTCGAGTGGCAAGTGTAACAAATCCATTCAACATTGTCAATACTTTTAACATTAGTAAGACAAAGCTTAAGAATATTCTCAGTACACATGTCATAAGAACTTGGTTTGCACATCTTAACAGATGTTCTGTACCATAACTGATCACAACATGTACAGATATACTCAGGGCCAGATTTGACAAGATCATGAAATGCCTGAATGTATTTTTGTCTCTCATTGACATCTGAATATATCATTTCTTGTGGATCATATTTGGGTCTCTTACATTCTAATTCATGCTGTACTTTACCATGATTAAAACTGCATCTTTTTCGCTTCATTGACTCTTTTTCAGTTCTCATGGAACTTACTTTTTCTTTTGGGCTTTCTAACTTCTCTGCTAGTTCTACCTCAACTTTACCAGTATTTTCACTTTTGCCTTGTTTCGAGAACATGTAGTTGTAGAAACATAGTGAAGTTCAAAATGAGTTGTTTGCTATACTTTCAACAAATTGTTCTGGATGATTTCTAATGTAATCTACAGCTGATGAGCGTACAATTTGATGAAAGTTTGAATTTTGAAATAATTGATGAGAAACTGCCCTAAAGAAACAATTTAGTACAACATCATAGTGAACCCCAGTTAAATTCTGTAGGTAAATTCCCATTTGACTAGATACTGGCAATCTATCTAACATAGTTCGAGAAAATTTAGACCATTTATAAATGTTACCAAACTGTGAATAAACATAAATATCTACATTGAAGAGGGAAGTGGCTGCAAAGATTTCAATATCAGTCCCCCACACACCACAGTTCCTCATGTTACTCATGGTTAAATAATCATGAACTGAACTATTAATATGAGACCTAAGGACATGTTCTATGCTGTTCATGTGATCCACTATTTTTTGTCTTAAATCATGTGGTATGTTTGTCTACAGGTTAAAAAATATGACAATGCTCTAAATAAACAATTGCCATCCCCTGTAATCTGACAAAGTTTCGCTGGATTAGCCAGTGGTTTTGATGTCGTTTCATTGCGTCCAAATATAAGTGGGACATTCATCAAAGAGCATAATGACTGCTGAAATTTTCCCGATAAAGGATAAAATTGAAGCGATCTATTGATACACAGACGAGACTCGTTCATGATAAATGATAGCACACAGCACTACAAACGCAAAGCGCAGTCCACATATAAAAATATAGAACGTATTGAAACTTACGTGACGTTTTTGTATTCGGTGATCTCTATATCATGAATAATTAAATAAACACGATCAGCACTTGTAACACAATGGTAAGAAACGAAAGAAACAGTGAAAACAATGTGAAACGGTATTGAAAACAGAGGCGCTTGTGAAGCAGGAGAAATATTGTGTGTACGTTTGTGTATTGACCAAAATATTGTGACTTTTTTGTATTCGGTGATCTCTATATCATGAATAATTGTTTTTCGGTGATCCCTATATCATGAATAATTAAATAAACACGATCAGCACTTGTAACACAATTGAAAGAAACAGTGAAAACAATGTAAAACGGTATTGAAAACAGAGGCGCTTGTAAGGCACCAGAAATATTGTGTGTATGTTTGTGTATTGACCAAAATATTGGCAACACTTCAGCCAAAAGGTATATCAGTGTGTTTAACAGCAGATCCGATGGGTCAAGCAGCAAAAGAGATAACAATTAAGTCAACTAAAAAAATCACTCACCTTTTCAGCATATGTCCTTGCAATTGTAAGAGCAATTGAAAGACCGCATGGTACAACAGTCCAGCCTGATTTCCGGTTCTGAAAGACCCGAACGCAGGCAAACTGTGCGCGCAAAGCAGGCTGGTTGTTTCCCATTGTTCAACTGCCCCACACTCAAGTAACCACAATGACTCACAGATATTGCTACGCAACATCCGTGAGTCAAAAATGATGATGGTTTCTCTTAAGTTGTGGTTTTTCATTAAGTACATGTAAATAGAATGATGGGTCAACCATTTCTTTTTTTGAAAACGGTTATTTCACTTCTCCTATCCCAAATGATGATGGCTCTACATGATCATGTAGCAAACAGTTTGGGCTTGCACCAAGCCATGGGGCTTCAGTGTTAACAAATAACCCACACTGAACACATGCACTCATCATCAGGTCTTAAATTCTTTTGCTCTAAATATATTTGAATGGCTGTCTGCTCATTACTGTTGCCCCACTGACAGGCGTCTGGGGGCTTAGTAACATTACTTGCTGGTAAGATGATTTTGCTAAGAAGCAGGGGTGGATCTAGACTAGTGCCACTAGTTTCTGGAAACTAGTCAAATGTTGCCAAACGTGTGAATTTACAACCATATTTCTGTATAATAACCTTGCGAAATCCCCTTTACATACAATATTTTTACTGCACCACACACCCAAGGAAACGGAAAATCGCCGCTAACCTTCTGGACAACGGCTGTAACGCGTCTCCAAAATCACTCGTCCGGAAAGTGGGAAACACACAACTTCTGTGTGGTGGCTATGGCAAACTTTATGGACATGATGGCACGACGCACTGTTGGGATTGATGAACAGTTAAACCAGATAGCTCAACAGCAGATCCAAAAAAATCGTGAGAAGATGAGGTCTATTATTAAGACCGTCGTCTTTTGTGGTCATAATGCCGTGGCATTGCGAGGTGCAAGAGATGACAATCCCGACGACGAAACTCTTCAGGGTAACTTCCAAGCTTTGCTGGCGTTTCGTGTTGACAGTGGAGACAAGACGCTACAAGAACACTTTGAGAATGCCCCTCGAAATGCTACCTACCGTTCGAAAACGATACAGAACAAGATCATTAACACTGTTGGCAGCTACATAACTTCAAAGATCTCAGCAGAAATTGTAGAAAGCAAGCTGTTTTCAGTGGTGGCAGACGAGGCAGCTGATATCTCCAACAAAGAGCAGCTCTCTTTAGTGCTACGATTTGTTGACTCAACTCAACAGATTCGAGAGGAGTTTGTTGGCTTCTACCATTGTGAAGCTGGAACCAGTGGAGTGGCATTGAAGAACATGATCCTGAAGGCTGTAGCTGACCTTGGTTTGTCAATGGCCAACTGCAGAGGGCAGTCTTATGATGGTGCTGGCAATACGGCAGGAAAGTACAATGGTGTTTCTACACTTATCCAAGGTCAGTTTAGGAAAGCATTGTATGTTCACTGCATGAACCACCGCCTCAATCTCTGTGTTGCTGACACTTGCTCCAATTATTTAGTTAAAGACATGATGTCTATTGTAAGGAGCCTTTCTTCTTTCTTCTCTGGTTCTCCTAAATGGCAACAGCATTTAAAGGAGAAGGTTAAGTCATTGTTGCCCTCTTCCAAGCATGAAATTTTAATTAATGTTTGTGAAACCAGGTGGATTGCTCGCCTGGATGGCTTGGATAGAATTGTTGAGCTTCTTCTCCCAGTTGTATGTACAATAGAAGATATTGCTCACAATAGGAAAGGGGGGGATGAAGAACCTGATTCTGGTGACTGGAATCAAAAGAGCAAGGCAGCTGCTATAAAGATGCTGCATAGTATAACTTTTGAATTTGTAGTTACTTTAGTCATAGTTAGGTATATACTAGACCTAACTAGACCTGCAACTGTAAAACTGCAAAGGAAAGAAATGGACCTTTTGAAGGCTCATTCAGAAATTTCATCTTTGAAGAGAGCTCTTCAAGACTTGAGGTCCAACATTAATAGAGAACACAATAAACTCTATTTGGAGGCAGTGGAACTTGCAGCTACAATTGGGCTTGACCCCTGTAAGCCCAGAATTATTCCAGTACAAGCACATAGAAATAATAATCCATCAGATTCTGTTGAAGGGCATTATAGAGTAAATCTTACTGTTGTTTTTCTTGATCATGCATTGAATCAACTTGAAACTAGGTTCCCTCCTGAAGCCTATACATGTTATAGTGGGTTTTCTATAGTGCCTACTATTATGTTGGCAAACCCATCTACCTGGAGAAATTCTGTTACAGAATTCTGTAATTATTATTCAACCGATATTCCAAATGTTATTGGCTTGCCTGCAGAATTAACTTTATGGCAAAGAAGGTGGGAAGAGAAGGTTGCAGAAGTTGGTATTAACAATCTTCCTGATAGGGTATCTAAAACTCTAACAGCTGTAGACCCTCTAGCTTTTCCAAATATTTTTACTATTTTAAAATTATTGGCAACTATTCCTGTCACCTCTTGTAGCTGCGAGAGGTCTATTTCATCTCTTAGACTTCTTAAGAACTATTTAAGGAACACCACAGGTCAGGAGAGATTAAATGGTTTGACCTTAATGCATGCACATAAGGCAATTTCCCTAGATTATGACAAGATCGTTGATATGTTTGCTTCCCTTCATCCAAGAAGAATGAGGATGGTGCACATTTTATGTAGTGATGACTAATTCATCATTTTTGTGTTTGTTTCTGTATATAGATGTGCATGAAATTGTATTATTGATAAAACAGCTTAGCATCAAATGTGGTATAACAACTGCCCGACCTTTCAACCTGAGGGCCTTCGTTAGAAGAGTTAGTATGATTTTTTCCAAATCCCAATTTCTTGTCTTCCTTGCCTCCTTCTTGAGGTCCCTTCTTTTGAGATGGTGGTTTGCTGTGACATACTAACATATATAATAAATACCATTATTAACAACAAGATTTGCAGAAGAAGCACACATCTTAAAACGTTTTTGAAATGTTCCTTGCTCACAATGGTGAACAGCATATGATTCATACGAGTAAAGAATCTGGTCATCCAATGATATCCTGTTATATAACCTGAAAAGAACATTGTAGTTGTGTTCCAGTTCATAGCATACTACATTGCCAGTGCCATTGTTAACCCAACATTCCTCATGGCTGATGTGAAGATAACAGAAGAAGAACTGAAGAAGAATGATGTAAACCTAATTTCTTCAAGGTTCCGTTTAGGAACCGCAAATGCCTTGAAAGAATATAAACCTAAGATCGATTATCTCTTGTGTTTTCTGCAGTTGCTAGCTTCAATTGGTGGGTTGACTTCCAAAAATTCAAAACCATCACACATGCTGTTTTTCAATGAAAACCAGCTTATTTTAGCAATTTTTTGGCCTAATGGAACTTTCATATTTTAATAAAAAACTGTTTGAAAAATGCCCAGAATCGCGTTTCAGAGGTTCTGGAAATCAAAATTTTCCGGGGGGACATGCCCCCGGACCCCCCTAAGGGGGGCTCGCGCCTACCGGCGCTCGATTTAGTGCGCGATGGAAACTAGTCACAAAATATCTAGATCCACCCCTGCTAAGAAGTGAAGTAGGGAATACATTCTCTCTTCGTTTCATTACAGTACCAAAATGTGAGGCAGTTAGACGACCTTATTGTTCATTAAACCATAGTTTACATTGGGATTGACCTCTTGTAGTGCATTCAATATCAACCATTTTTTCTTTGGTTGTATAAAGAGTGCTTTTAGTATATGGCATATACTCCTGAGAAGGTAAATATTTGCACACTTCTGTAAAGTCAGGAACAGTAATTTGTTCCAGTATAGATTTTCAAATTTCAACATTGTACATTTGATTTCCAATAGGTCTGCATCATTAAATGCCTTTTTAGAAGGTAATTCCTCAACAAATTCCTGATAGTGGAATGGTTCACAATTATTAGATGCTAAAAGGCCCTGCAAATAATCACAGTGCCAACAGTTTTCAAACCATCTTCTAGTTTTTTTAAATCTTTCACATTTACATGCTTAGCAAAAACAGGTGCTGGGTTGTTGTATTCTGCAACATAATGCTTCTCTGTCTTGGAAGTTGCTTTGCTAATTTTTACTTGGTCAAAAAGCACTGCACTGTCAAGTTTCTCACTAGTATTAGGCACATGCCACTGTTGTAAAAGTTGTGTACATGTTAAGTCATCTAAGACTTTAGGTAATTCAAGTTGAATATAGTCCAAAATTTGGAACAATAGGGCAGCTACATGTTTACAGCAGCCACCTTTTCCTGCTGTACAAGTACAACTTGCATGGGATAATTTACCAGTGTCTTGGCCTAGGTGAACATATACAGCATAGTGTGCTTTTTTCAGAGGCATGCACAACACTTTTAAAGAGGAAAAACTTTTCCTGGCCTAGGTTTGACTTTAACTTGGGTAACCATCTTATATTTAATAGCCGTACTTTTTATGCTTGTGAGCATTCGGTGGTTTTCCAAGTTTACTTGAGTGGTCAGTTATCACATGTTCAAGCAATAATGCATGTGTAAATGGGGGAATACCACGAAGAATTTGAGCTAAATGTTTTTGATATTTAGTGCTTTTACCGGATCTTCACGTGGTTTCTGATTACACCTCTTCTCTCGAGCGCGTTCAAAGTTCAAAGTATTAAGTGATGTTTTGTTACTCTTCACATGAAGCCAAACATTTACATGGACTCTTACAACAAAGACAAATAGCATATTTCAAAAACAAATATCCATGTTACCAAAAAATGTTTCATTTTGTTACTGCTCTGGGCCTGTATTTCGCTAGGCGGAATTTTGCGCCCAAACAATGTTTTTTGCGCGGAAACTGAAAAGTACAATACTTTCAACTTTGTTGCGGGGAAAATGTCGCTATATATATATGCGCGCAAAATTCTACCTAATAATATATTACTATTATTGTTAATATTCCTGTTGTGATTCGTATGTTAAAATATTTTTAAAACTAGCTGCTTCTAAAGACTTTGACTTCAACGAGCTGTAACTCGCAAGACAACGTTCTCTCCTTTACCCTTGACAGCAGGAAAAACGCTCCCGGGTCTATCCTCAGTGGGTCCATCCATCACTGGGGGAATTGGTATTCATGACACTGTAAAATGGCTATTTTCAGATGATTCGTTTTTGCCAAGTGCAATCTACAAATCCTTTGGGCAATTGAACATTTATAAATCTTTTTTCTTTATAGCAAATTTACTCGCGAAATCATAATATAAACCAGCCTATTTTAAAACAAATTAGAGATAAAAGTTAGAACTTGATATAGCATATATTGACCTACATATTGACGTGATTGACAGTGTTCTCGCTCACAGGTATTAATTCATGTACAGCCCCAGCAAGTTAACGCTCACTTTACGTGTTTTAAACCTGCTATTGCTATTAGTTAAAATGGATTTAGTTTACTAACATTTCATATAACAGTTCACTTGGACCCTAAAATGAACTTGCTCCAATAGGAAAAATTTAAGATTGGTTTTATAGAGTTGAATACTAGCACCGAGCATCACCTCATATTCATATGTTGATATCGCTTGAAAATGCACCTGTGTTTGGTGTTAATAAAGATGAAGATGTTGTTGCTTATATTGATAGCATAATTACGGTTTTTTCCTCATTCATCATTCTGAAATCTTCAACTGACTTAAAAGGGTCAAATACTGTTAAACATTGTAGCATTGTCGACCAACATGCAGGTATGTATTTTGGTCTTTGAACAATTTCTTGGTGAACAAGCTGAAAAAGAATTTCACTGATGTTCTCTGCATTTGCAAGACAAAAGCACTTGTAAGAATTTAAAAATTCTAATATATCTTTATTGCTGCAGAGCGAGCGAGCCTGAAGAGAGCGAGCGTAGCAGCAGTCCAATTTGTGCAGAGAGGGGGTTCTGAACTAAATTTTATTTAGCGCAAGGACTTGTGGTCGTGCGCCTTTTTTATTCGTAGAACACAAATTTTAAATTCGCTCATATCCATGTGCTTTTTGATTTTGATGGACAGGATCTTCAAATTTTTGTTAAACTTTAAAGCTTCTGTTCTATTTTGACTATTCAAGGTAAGATATTTTCATCTTTCGTTTACATGTTACGTTTACAATTATAACTTGTATATGTTCATCAAACGCTAAAAGCATACAATCAATCATAGCTAGATTCAAGCTGTTTATAAATACGAACTATATAAATTTATCTAGAATATTAAGATGTACTATCCAATTTGCTAATTGTTTTGCTTGAGCAGTTGAGGTGTCAGTGCTGTGAAGCAAATCAAGTCTTACATACAGATACCTTAAAGTCTTTTTTATCCGTTGACATTTGTATTCTTTTGCTGATTTCAATATTTTGCATCAAATGATGTTTCAAGTATGCGGCTTGACGCTTGCAAGTCGTGTTTAATAGTCATAGTCGCAGATAAAATATGCAATTGATCGTCTAAATTGCCTGACTGTCAGAATCACTCAGATTTGACTTATTTTATATTAGGTTACTGTAAGCGTAGGCATATGTTTTTATTCCTATTTTACAATGAGCTAAATGTTTTTGATATTTAGTGCTTTTACCAGATCTTCACATGGTTTCTGATTACACCTCTTCTCTCGAGCGCGTTCAAAGTTCAAAGTATTAAGTGATGTTTTGTTACTCTTCACATGAAGCCAAACATTTACATGGACTCTTACAACAAAGACAAATAGCATATTTCAAAAACAAATATCCATGTTACCAAAAAATGTTTCATTTTGTTAAGCATGTGCTACTGCTCAGGGCCTGTGTTTCGCTAGGCGGAATTTTGCGCCCAAACAATGTTTTTTGCGCGGAAACTGAAAAGTACAATACTTTCAACTTTGTTGCGGGGAAAATGTCGCTATATATATGCGCGCAAAATTCTACCTAATAATATATTACTATTATTGTTAATAATCCTGTTGTGATTCGTATGTTAAAATATTTTTAAAACTAGCTGCTTCTAAATACTTTGACTTCAACGAGCTGTAACTCGCAAGACAACGTTCTCTCCTTTACCCTTGACAGCAGGAAAAACGCTCCCGGGTATATCCTCAGTGGGTCCATCCATCACCGGGGGAATTGGTATTCATGACACTGTAAAATGGCTATTTTCAGATGATTCTTTTTGCTGAGTGCAATCTACAAATCCTTTGGGCAATTGAACATTTATAAATCTTTTTTCTTTATAGCAAATTTACTTGCGAAATCATAATATAAACCAGCCTATTTCAAAACAAATTAGAGATAAAAGTTAGAACTTGATATAGCATATATTGACCTACATATTGACGTCATTGACAGTGTTCTCACTCACAGGTATTAATTCATGTACAGCCCCAGCAAGTTAAAGCTCAATAGAGGCTCACTTTACGTGTTTTAAACCTGCTATTGCTATTAGTTAAAACGGATTTAGTTTACTAACATTTCATATAACAGTTCACTTGGACCCTAAAATGAACTTGCTCCAATAGGAAAAATTAAAGATTGGTTTTATAGAGTTGAATACCAGCATATTCATATGTTGATATCGCTTGAAAATGCACCTTTGTTTGGTGTTAATAAATATGAAGATGTTGTTGCTTATATTGGTAGCATAATTACCTGTAACAAACCAGAAGATGATTCAGAACTACTTGGTCTTGTTAATAGACAGACACACAGACATTCTCATACTTGCAGGAAAAAGTCTAAAAATATTTGTAGATTCAACTATCCACAACCACCAATGAGATGTACTCAGATCCTTTATCCACTTGATGAAGACACCTCTTCAACTGTTGCTAAAGCCAGCAAAGAATTGTGGAAAGAGATTAAAACGAAACTAAATGATTTTAAGGAAGGTAAAGACATTACTTTTGATTAATTACTACAAGAGTTAGGTGTTTCAGAACGGCAGTATATCCTTGCTATACGATCCTCTTTGAATACTCCGACAATCTTTTTAAAAAGAAGTCCAAATGAATTAAGGATTAATAATTACAATCTAATTTGCCTTTCGGCATGGCGAGCAAACATGGACATTCAATATGTCTTAGATGTGTATGCCTGTGCAATGTATATTGTATCATATATTTCCAAAGCGCAAAAAGGAATGAGTGAATTGCTTCGTAAAGCTTGTGCAGAAGCAAAAGAAGGTTATACAAACATCAAACAGCAAGTTCGCGATATTGGGAACAAATTTTTGAATTCTGTTGAAATAAGTGCACAAGAAGCAGTGTATATTGTTTTGCAACTTCCAATGCGAAAATCTTCACGTAATGTAATTTTCATTAACACATCTCCTCCTTCTGAAAGAGTCTAATCACTTAAACCATTGAGTGAAATAGAAAAAATGTCCGATCAATCAGAGGAAATTCACTCTGGTGGTCTTTAAAAAAGATATATAGAACGACATGATTGTTTGCACAATGTGACTCTGGCTGATTGGGCAGCATTCATTCAAAATGCTTTAGTTGATGAATACAATGATATTGTTTATCAATCATTTGATTGTAGTGATAAATACATAATCAAGGCACAAGATAGCGTCATTGGAGCCTGTTCAGCTGAACTGAAAGAAAAGATAATGAGACAAATACCACATGTTCCTTTGAAAAATTCAAAACAGTTAGCTCATAAATTGCATATTGCTGTAAGACAGCGAACATAAATTGCGTTGAATATACGCACTGATGATGGTCTGACAAACGGTGCAAGTAATGTCATTAAACATGTTCAATTGACTGATAATACTAAACCTTCCGGCATCGTTTGGGTTCAGTTTGACGACGAAGATGTTGGAAAGAAAACCCGACAAGAAAATAGAATTCTCCATGCTCGAAGTACATCTATACTAAGTACTTGGACACCAATAAAACCTGTTACAACGCAATTTGCTTGTAGGTAAAACAAAGTCTGCTCAAGTGGTAAGAAAGCAATTTCCTTTGAGGCCAGCTGCCGTGAAAACGGTTTATCGATCACAAGGTGATACTCAGTCACAAATCGTCGTTAATTTAAAAATAAAAGAAGAGCAATTCCTCATATTCATTACGTCGCCGTAAGCCGAGTAACAACAATCGAAGGGCTATATATAACTGATCTCTGCGAAAGTAAGATTTCCGTCGATCTTAAAGTTGTAGAAGAAATGCACTTACTTGAGAAATGAGTATAAATTAGATCTTTGTTTCATTCCGTTGCAGTGATGAAAATTCTGCAAATGCAATTCTTACAAAGTTAGCAATGAGTATCGATCTAAGTAACATTTCCAAATTTAACATTCCACGTAACTTTATTTGGGAGGGCACAAAGTGAGCACTGTCACAGAGATCCTTTGCACCAAATAACAAAGTGTCAGTAAAATTTACTGACGATCTGGGGAACAGTGAGGTTGACTTAGGGGGACCAATGAAAGAGTATTTTACACTTGTAATACAGTGGTTGGTTGCCTCCCAGATATTTTGTGGCCCACAAGATGCTAACTTTGTGATCTAGTAGCATTGAGCGAAATGAGTATTACTTGCAGGATTAATCATAGTCATGTCAGTATCTTTCTTTGAAAATGTTTCAAGTGTTTGCTCCAGTAGTTAAAAGCATTGCTATTGATATTCAAGATGTTGATAACAAGTTGCAGGAGTCCCTTTTATTACTCTATAATGCTCCTAATATTAAAGCTGCTACAAAGCTACTGGACAACAATAAATTCACAACTGTTCTTTGCTGGAACCCTTGTACCTATTAAGACATTAGAAGACAGCAACCGTGAAGTGGTTAGTGCTTGGGCATGCCAATATATCTATTGAGGCTTTCAAGAGCAGTCTTTCAGCGTTGGGTGTTCTTGACTCAATTTGAGGACACTTGGAACCTTTTCAGACAGTATTCTGTCATTTCCCATTGAATCTCACTTCCAATATACTTGGAAGTTGTTGCTAGTCCTGTTGGCTCAAGGAGGGCTCTCATTGAGAGTTTGGTTCTTTTCTCACTAGAGAGATTATCTGCAAGATGTTGAGGATGGAGAAGAACCTCTTCAACTAAGCAATATCCTTTTCTTCATGACGGGATGCAAAGTTTTGCCACCACAAAAGTTGTATCCAACCATCGAATTTTTGCATGATGATGAAGCGTGGGGGGGGAATCAAAATTCCCTAAAGCTAATACATACTCCAAATACAAAATGGACTTTGGTTTGCCTTAAACAAAATTAATTAAACATTTGTTATTGATTTATTGTCTG